GGGAAAAAAGAGGCAAAAAATGAAGTAAATATGTTTTTCAAAACACTCAAGTAACCATAGTGGATTCAGTTTTATGGAGTTGCTCTACTGTAGCATGCTCTCTGAGGCTTTTATTTTTTAAGGTTTCTTCCTATTGCTGCTTTTTTTGTGGATAGTTGTTGATCTGTTGAGGTGCATTACATTACATTATGCGACATGGTGGGGATGCAGATAACTCATTTGAAAGGCATTGTTGTGTCACGGTCACATTAATGTATATGTATAAAGTTTTACCAACTAAATTATTACATAATGAAAGAAAATGCCATAAAGTGACGACACTGATCATTCTCTCAGGGATCACTGTGTGATGTCTTGGTGACATCTTTTCTATTTTGTGGTGTTTTGTTTAACAGTTCAGTTGTTATTTGATTCAGGGATTAACTGAATACTTGTTTTGGGCTCCAGATGTTTTGTCTGCATTGTTTATGCAATAATACGTCATGCAAGATGGTAATACACCAGGTGGTCTGCTTGTCCTGGTGCTCTTTTAGATAACCTGATAATCTCAGGAGGGAAGCAGCGGAAGGGAGTAAGCTCAGCGTGTCTTACGTAATTTCTTTTTTCTGCCTTGCTTTCTAATCTCCAGAACCTGAATCCATTTGTTTACAGCTAGCTGTCAGCTTTATGCAGCCCTACTGACCTCCGCAGTTCTCTGTCTCACTTATACTCTCTATTTTCTTTGTTTTTATCAGTATTGTATTTAAAAGAAACTTAACCAGCTGCTTTCTTTTCAAGCTCCTAAGACCACTGTTGTATATGTTAAATTTTAGCGTTATCTGACAGTATAAAGCCCTCACTATGAGTCTGTGGCATTTTTATTTTGACTATGTTGTTTATTTTGTAGCCTGTACTGTTGTGGGATTGCTACGCTCTTCCTGTGGGGCACAGATGATTTTCCTTTTAGGATTATAGTTGTAGTAGTAACAGTTAGACTTAGAAGGCTGTGGTAGAGCTTGTTGCAGGAGCTGTGCTCACATTTTTATTAGTAGTGCTAATAATAAAATTAGATACTCGTAAGAAATTTTAAAATACAGGTTTTTTCTGCTGGTTGTGTACATCGATTCAGGTTAGGTACTCGATTAGAGATTATAGAAGTAGATACACAAATATGCAGAACCTGAAATAAAATGTAACAATTTTCTCATGATGAAAGCACTGAAGAGTATTACGACTGCCACTGTTTTTAAAACATTGCCCGAACTGCTCTTACATCCTGCTGCAGCGAAATTCACTGAACTCATTGATTAAAGACAGAACGAGATCAAGGAAGAGCCGTGAAGATCAGCAGGCTTAGACTGATGCTTATAGCGTCAGAGTATTAACCTAAGTCAACCCGAGGGCCCAAACCGTGTCATTACACTCATACTGGAGTGCAGCTATGGAATCAACATAAGTTTTACAATAGCAGTGTGTTTATCTGCTGTTCTTTAAGTTGCACAATATGTTAAAATGTTCCAACTGGCCATTTCCAGCCCATCAACAGGTGATTGTGTAAGCTCTGATTGCTGATAAATATGTTGTGGTGGATATGATTTTTATTCCAAGGTCACATGTTTCCAGAACTCTGAATTTTGGGATTCGAATTGGTTGTTTTGTCTTATGTAAAGTTGTTGTTGACAGTCAGAGCAGCTCACAGTGTTCACAGTGAAAGCCACTTAAAGCAGCAGCGAGTTAGCAAAGCATGAATCTGTCTGCGTCACCAGTCAGTGTGAAGGAGGACCTGTGACCGCTGAGCTAATCGTCATGGTATTACAGGACTAAAGCCTCAGCGTAGTGGTCATTTCTCGAAACTGGCGGATTCACTGAGTCAGGCCGATGTGCCTCCTCTCGCTGTTCAGCTGCCTGTCCTCATCTTT